ACACACACACACACACACACACACACACACACACACACACACACACACACATGCACACAAAACCCACCCTGGATACAGCTGTGCATACCTGTAATCCCAGTGGTAGGAAGGCAGAGACAGGAGGTGTTAGCCAGGCAATCTGGATGAGTCAATGATCTCCAAGGTGAGCCAGACACCTCACCTCAAAAAAAAAAATGTGGAAAGTGAGGAAACCATTCAGTGTTGACCTCTGGCCTCCACATGCAAGTGTCAAGCATACGCCTTCATGAACACACACACACCCCAAATGCATTTGAGGATGGAGAAGAAGAGCCCTCTTTTACAGCTGGTGGGGATGTAAACTGGTCCAAGCACAACAGAAAACAGTGTGGGGCTCCTCCACAAACTAACAATAAGTTCATCAAGATGGTTCAGCAGGAAGGGATGCTCGCTCACAAAGACTGATGGCTTAAGTTCAATCACCAGAAGCCTCAGTGTTCTCATCTAATCCCATGCCTGTGCCATGGCATACAATACATCAATCTAAAAAAAATAAAATAAAATAAAAAATGGAAAAGAATCCCAACAATAGAATTTCCATATGACCCAGCTAAACCAGTCTTGGCCATATGCCCAAAGAACTTTCAATCAATATACTACAGAGAGACTGCATATCAATGTTTATTGTAGACTTCACAATAGCGGAGTTACAGACCAGCCACATCTGTCAGCAGATGGATAAAAAATGTGACACTCACAATGCAGTTTTGTTAATATGCACAGAAGAAACAAGTGTTTTCAGAAAAGTGGGTGGACTTCGGATTATGTTAAGGGAAATAAATCAGATGCAGAAAGACAAATATCACATTTTCTTGTTTGTAGTTCCTAGAATAAAAGTTTGCCGATTGTACACCCATACCATTTTAATCTCAAGAATAAAGATAATAATAGTAACTGCAAGACAATAAAGAAATCCTTTAAATTATTTTATTTTTTAAAAATATCCACTTTATTGTGTATGAGTGTTTTTACCTGATATGTAGTGCACTTTGTGCTTGCTTGATGCCTTCAGAGGCCAGAAGAGGGCACTGGATTCCCTGCATCTGAAGTTAAAGATAGTTTTGAGTTTCCATGTGGGTGCTGGGAAGTGAACCTGCGTCTTCTGGAAGAACAGTGATTACTCTCAATTTCTGAGGGATCTCCCAGTGCTCCTTAATATTTTAATGGTGGTGGTGGTGGTGGTAGTGTGTGTGTGTGTGTGTGTTTGTGTAAAGGTGTGTATGACTGTGTGGGCCTGTGGAGTTTGGAGGTCAATATCAGGTGCATTTCTCAAGTCCCCTCTATTTTATTTTTGAGTCAGTTTCTCTCACTGGTTGGTCCAGACTTTGCTGTTTCTGCTACACTGGTTGACCTGTGAACCCTCAGGATCCTTTTCTCTCTGTTCTCCGATTCTAGCACTGGTTTTAGATCCAGGTGTGTGTGTGTGTGTGTGTGTGTGTGTGTGTCCTGGGGTTTTGAACTTAGGTCTTCACACTTGCTCCTTACCCATTGTGGTGGTGGGAATAAGAATGGTCCCATAGGTTCAAATATTTGAATGCTTAGGGAGTAGCACTATTTGAAAGGATTAGGAGATGTGGTCTTGTTGAAGGAAGTATGTCACTGGGGATGGGCTTTTGGGTTTCAAATGCTCAAGTCAGGCCAGCGGCTCTCTTTCTGCTGCATGCAGATCCAGATGTAGAACTCTCAGCTCCCTTTCCAGCACATCTGCCTATGTGCTGTTATGCCGTCCTGTTTAATGGACTAAACCCCTGAAACTGCAAGCCACCCTCAATTAAATGCTTTCCTTTGTAAGAGTTGCTGTGGTCATGGGGTCTCTTCACACAGAATGCTAAGGCACCCACTGTGCTATCTTTATAGTCCTTGAATAAATTCTTTGTATACTTTATAAATCCCATTATATTCTCGGCTTATCAGAATCCCAAGACCCTTATTTCTCGACTGTTTGGACGGTTATTTGACTACATTATTGGACTGTTTGTCTTTGAATTCTACTGCCACCTACTGCTTATGTAGGGAACTGCTCCTTGCTGTTTATTCATGTTTTATTCCTAGCTACTGAAGTTTGGTTTTCTCAGCGCCGGTGAGCTTTTTGCGCTTTGAGCTTCAATCACTGTACTTCCCTAATGGTTTCTGGTATTTCATTATAACAACTCAGAAGATAATGATTTTTTTCTCTTGGCAAGATAAAACCGAAAGAAAAATCTCAAATTTATGGCTTGATAGAAATGAAAGAATCATTTTTAAAACTTAATGATATAACGTTTTCATAATTTATTTTCAAGAAAACCAGAACGGTCATAGAATCCCTGGAGAATTTAAATCTTCTAACATACACTATATTGGACATTAAGGTGCATTTCTCGGTTCTTCCTTGCAAGTTCTTCCTTGGACATCTTCCATTCAGAGAGCTGCACCCTTCAAGGCTTTACTTTCATGTTTTCTCTGTAAAAATTTCCACTATTTTGTAGATTAGAAGTTAAGTTCTCCATCCCACAATTTGTAGTTAATATAATGAGTAATGTGAGGAAGGTGAACAAATCCAGTTTGAAAAATACCTTCCCATTACTTTGCCTCATTCCCTTAACTCCGCTGGTTACTGGAATCCCAGGAGTGACTGAAGGACAATTTTTAGGAGACACAAGAACAAAAGCAAAGACAAATACTGTGCAGTCTGGTCAGGTTCACTTTGCACACTCTGAAGTCAGCTCCCTCGCTGTTCTTAGACACTGCATGGTGAAAATTTTCACGGCTAGTAAAGTAAAAGCAGATCGGGATGCAAACGTAATTCTTATTCTGGGATAAAGAAGAGGAATAAAGAAGGGGGAAATTACAACAGCAAAACTCTGTCATTACAGTGTCCGTGAGCAGTTCAGCTAGACTGTACTTAGCCGGGATGCTATGAAGTCGTGACCAATATACCATGGTCTTTGATTTCAAGCTTTGCTACAGACTAACTGAGCTGTCTCTGTAGTCACTAGAGTCTTTTCACAGGGCGAGGATTAATCAGTTTCTCTTTGCATCCATTTAGAATACGTTGATCTTGGTTAAAGTCATGGCGCTCTCAAAGACTCTAAAGCATCCAAGATCACAACCACTGCTTCGATCCTACATTTGACATCTCTTCGTGACCAATCCATGACAATAGCCACCAGTTATAGCAAACACCCAGAAGGGCCCTTGAGGGACACCACTCAAGCGGAGGCCCGCAGGACAGCGACGTCTTCTCGTCCCGCCTTCTCCGATGAGGAATATTTGAAGGGCAAGGATTGCGCCGGTAGAAGGTGAAAGAGTTTTTTTGTTTTTTTGTTTTTTTTTTCCGTTGTAGGAACATAAAGTCATAGTTTCTGGCTGTGTTCCACCGGATCTAACAAAGCACCAACTTCCGGTCCGGCTCCTATGTCTTCCGAGTCTTGAGTACCTCTAATTCTGCACGGAGTTACTGCCGGGTGCAGCGTCCAGTAGCTACTTCCGCCAGAAGTCCCTAGCTGCTCGGGTTCGGATGCTACCCCGACGCTGGGTCCGTCTCCTCCGCAACCCACCCGTCAGAGGCCGGTGGCAGCGGAGAGTGCAGGGCCTGGCGTGAAGCCGTCTCTGCGGCCGAGTCCGGGTAGTGGTGCGGAAGAGACTCCGGGAAGTGGCCAGGGCGGTGCCCGCAGGCCTTGACGCACCTGCCCAATAGGGGCGGGGCTCGACCGGAGCCCGCCCAACCCGGGCGCTAGGTCTGCGGATTAACCGCCTTGCACCTACGGGAGTAGGTCTCTCTTTTCTAGGTTTCGTGAAACATGGAATTCGCCGAGCTGATTAAGACCCCACGGGTGGACAATGTGGTGCTGCACCGGCCTTTCTACTCCGCCGTGGAAGGGACCCTGTGTCTGACAGGCCACCACCTGATCCTGTCTTCCCGGCAGGACAACACGGAGGAGCTCTGGCTCCTCCATTCAAATATCGACGCCATTGACAAACGGTGAGCGCCCACCACACCCAGGTCCGTCACACCCAGGTCCGTGAGGAGCTTGGAACTGACCAGATGCTTTCAGGTGGTTTTTTGGCATCCTTGCTCAGCCAGCCAAATGAGCCTTCTGGGGCCTAGATCTGAAAGCCATCTGAACTAGCTACCTAGCACCCCCTGGCTAAGGTCTCAGAGTCACAGTGGTCGTATTGTCAGAGTTCTCTGTAAATTTTTTTTTCTCTCATCACATTTTTTTAATGTTTCTTGCCATCTCTCGAATTATTGGTTGTCAATTTCACTTCACAAAATTATGGTTGAGTACAATTTAACCTCCCCCCCCACCCAGTTTTTAAATAGGCGTGCTCACCTCTTTTCCAGCCTCGGCCAGTCTTGAACTCCTGACTCTCCAGCCTCAGCCTCCCACATAAGTGCTGGAATTACAGTTGTGTATGTATAGGCCACTATGCCTGGCCATAGTACTTAACTGAGTACACTGTTTATTCTTCCATGTATGCATTTTATTCTTTCCTTTAACAGTTTTAAGATCGGTAAGGTGCACATTTGTAATAGCCAATAGGGCAGGCCAATGCAGGTGGATGACAAATTTTACACCCCTGCTCATATAGGGAAGTTTATCATATCTCATCTTATTTTCTGGAATGTTTACTTTCCACCGAGGATAATCATCAGCCCTTAACATTATTCAGTTTTGCGTGTGAGAAAAGCACTGGCCCTAAAGGAAAGTATGAACTAATCTTTATTTATTTTCCTACTCCATCACTTTAAATTTTTTATTTTTACTTCTGTGTATATGTGTGTACAAGAATGTACACATGTGATGGCCCAGGAACCAGGAAAAGGTGTTGAATCTTATGGAGCTGGAGTTACAAGCAGTTGTGAGCCACACTGTGTGAGTTCTGGGGTCAGAGCTCAGATCTTTACCTGTGCTAGAGAGTGTCTCAGAGTCAAACAGTTATATACTTTGTTCTGCACTTAATTTCTCTGTCTCGTCAGTATCCCTGTGTACTCTAGGCAGGAGAAGGCAAATTGCTTATCCAGTTCATTATGAAGTATGTGTGAGTAACAACAGTACTTTCTACCACTTGACTGCATCTTTTGGATGCTAAGATTTTTACAGAGATTATTATGCCTTAAGATGATCTGAAGTGATAACGTTACTAGCAGTTTGGGTGGAGAGGTTGCAGATCATCCATCCATCCATCCCAGCTGTGGGCTACTAGACTCCTCAGTTCATCTGTATTAATAAGAGTATTAAGTAGTCTCTCCTGCCTGGATGGTAAAGGCTGAATTCCTGACTCTCTGTGTTCTGGTTCTCACCTACTCTCCGCCCTGGTTTTTTTTGTTTTTTTGTTTTTTTGTTTTTTTTTTTTAACCATTCTCATGATTTGTAATTTCTTACAGATTTGTGGGCTCTCTGGGTACTATCATCATAAAATGTAAAGATTTCCGAATAATTCAGTTGGATATTCCTGGAATGGAGGAGTGTTTAAATATAGCCAGTTCCATTGAGGTAAGTATTTTGCAGGCAAAATTCTGATAGGAAAATGGTGATACTCTGATTTTGTACAGTCCTTGACATATGAGAAGAATCATGTTTACTGTGCAAATCTGGATAGTTTCCGTGATGATGACAGTTTGTGAATTGTTTTTCTGTTTTAGTAGATTTCTTGAAAGAACATCCTATGTGAAGTTCTAAGCCAATAAAACAAATACAGTGTAGCTAGATCGTGGACAAGTTACAGTCGGTAGGCAGGTGTGATCTTCCTGGGTATAGTGTATCTTTGGAAGCCTTGAACTCTGAGCTGTACTCTTAATACTGTGATTGTTATAGTAGTGAGGTCCTGTTAGCATCAGGCCGTGGGTGAAGTTCCTCACCTCTCACAGTTAGCCTCCAGCATCTTATAAAAGGAGGATAACATTACCTGCTTTTTAGTGGTGTTGTAAGAATAAATTTGTGGGTATATGTAGAATGCTTAGTGTACTACTTGGCAAATGGTTGCTGCCATTGCAGGGCTCTTCTATGGCAACAGTGTTATTCTGAGACTTTGTGGTAGAAATAGCCACATCACATAAAGTTCACTGTTGTACCATTTTTCAGTTTACCATTGCGCTGTGTGTCAGAAGTATATAAATAGTGTTGTGTAACAGACTAAAGCAAGTGGTTATCACCAACAGCTGTCATCTGTGACTTTAGCATATCTGCAAGTATGTGTTTTGTTTTCACCAGTTCACCTAAGGTATATCTGTTTATGCATGTCTAAAAGCTTTGATACGGTTCTGGTCACACATAGAAACTTTGCTTGGATAGTTTAAGGTCTCTGATGAAGGCCTCACATTCCTTTTCCTTTTTCTAACTATTTAGATCACTCCAATTTTTAAATTGCCTTATTTTAAATTGCTGCCACTAAATTATATCAGTTATATCAACTGACTCTGTTTAAAGTAATTTCCAGGTAATTATAGAGTCAGCTGATTTTATTTTCTTTCTGTGTAACCAACTTACTGGGCCTTATGTTTAAAAAAAAAAGTGGGTTTAGCTCTTAAAAGGAGAGAGAAAGCCTTAAATCTATAATTAGAATTTTGTTTGGCTTTAAACAAGAGGTAGAGGATTGGGTGATGTGTTGTTAAGGAAATGACACACAAACCTTTCTGCTTTTGCCAAATTCTACTTGAAGAAATGAGCGCAGACATTGAATAGCGTGCCATACATAGTTGTCACTTGGAAGTATGATCTTGACTTGATCATGTTGACTGTACTCCCCAACATGAATGAGAAAGCAAATGAGATCATGCTCCACTATTTGGAGGAAGGAATGCTTAGGGCTCACTTTGGTTGGGTGTAACTAATGTAGCACAGAGATAGTACAATGCCTCGACAATTGGCAGATCCCTCTAGGAAGGAGTGAGTGTGGATGCAGCTTCCACATGTGTGTCTTGTAAGAACTTGGTTTTATTATGTACCATGTACTGTTGTTGGCCTATTGGATGCATAAGCCTGAAAAGTTTCTTCCATTGAACAAGTCTTAGGGGAAGCTATATGACTTAACCACTATGTAGCTGGGATCTGGAGCTTGAAGCTTCTGATACTTGCCAGCTGGCCAGAGTTGAGCATTCCTTTATATAGTAAGAACTAGGCATATCTTTTGAATAGTTTACAATGTTTAGTTAACTACTAGATTAACTAATCCAGACCTCCTTGCTTTCCAGTACTCAGAAATTCTTGGACTTTGTTAAATTGGACCAAGAAGCATTATTTCACTAGGCACAGACTATCCTTGTGCTTGTTAAATTCAGGCAGCACTTGTTGAGTGTTGGTGTGTGTGTCAGTGTCTTGTTAGATAATGAAGTGTGGATGCTGCACTCAGACTAGCTGCACGTAGAGACACGGCATCGTATTGGGCTCCATCATCACCAGATTTCCTATGTGCCAACTGCTACTTTGGTAGATTTGTAGAATCTTTTTCTTTCTGTCCTCTAGGCATTGTCCACTCTGGACTCGGTCACCCTGATGTACCCTTTCTTCTACCGACCCATGTTTGAAGTGATTGAAGATGGCTGGCATTCCTTCCTTCCTGAGCAAGAATTTGAGTTCTACTCCTCTGCTGTGAGTCAGCATTTGACACTGTGGGTGATAAGAACTAGCACAACCCTTTATTTTACTTGTGAAAACTCTCCCTTCCCTTTGAAGACTAGTGAGGTGGGGTTGGGTTATTCATGTCTAAAGGTAAGAGTTTGTACTGGCTGTTGGTTCAGCTTCTTTTATTCTGGGCTGGTTATTTTGTCCGTGTGTTAGTATATTTACTGCAGCTGGCAATGTTTTTCCTTCTAGCAGATTAACATAGTCTAGGTGTTTTTAATTTTTTTAAGATTATATTTATATGGCGGGCAGTGTTGGCACACGCCTTTAATCCCAGCATTTGGGAGGCAGAGGCAGGTGAATTTCTGAGTATGAGGCCAGTCTGGTCTACAGAGTGAGTTCCAGGACAGCCAGAGCTGTCTCTGAAAAAAAAAAAGAAACAAACAAACACATTTATAAATACTGTTTTAAAAATAAAAATAAAGCATTGTTTTGCTTAAAGCTAGCCCTGGCAGACTGCATTAATAGGTATCTCCTAAGTAACAACTTAGTATGTAATAGATTTTGATCCACTCTTCAAAAGTATATTAAGTCCACAGTTGCCTAAGATAGCACTGGAGAACCCCCTCACTTGCTCATGAGCCACTGTGGGTTAATGCCTGGCCTGGTCTCCAAGGCCAACTGCAAGAACCAAGCTTTCTTTCTTGGCTGTTTGGCTTATTTTTTCTATCTTACTTTTATAAAAGGTCACTTGGAAATCAAGAAGTAGAGATTAGAGAACTATGGCATTTGAAGAATGAAGATGCCCATGGTGGCAGAGGGAAGAAGAAAGGGAGTTTTTTGGTCTTGTAAGGTGAATACCAATGAATATGATGAAAATATAGTTTACCCTAGAGCTTGTTTGAGAGATCTGTATGAAAGATGAAAAGGTGGCAGGAATCAAACCGCACGTTATGAAAGGCATGGGGTGAGAGGAGCCATAGGCTCCTTGAGGATGTGTCTAAAATAGGAAGGGAGCCAGGATTTGAATCTGCTGAGAAGCGGAAAGAGCAGTTCATAAGAAGCATCCTTCAAGTGGGGGGAAGCAGCAGTCTGGAGGCTGTGCTCATAGCTTTCCTCCTGGGCTAGGAAGTAAGCATCCAGAGTGTGTGCTTCACAGAGTCAGGAATCGGGGCGTGTTTATTCCTGTGCAGTATTCCTGGAACATGACCAGCAAGTGGTAGAGATTTGTTAAGTGAATAAAAGAATGTAAGAATTTATTGTATTTATTGAATGGGACAAAGGATCTTGTGTCTGTCATTAGAAAACCTTTGAGAAGGACAGGCATGTATCTTGATATATAGACTTTGGAAAGCTGAGTTTTTCTGGTTTTTGTGTTCTGTTTGTAGGCACTTCTGCTTATCAGTTATGTCCCCCAACCCATGCAATGTGATATTAAAAGAACAGAATATTTAAAATAACTATAAGGAGACCTCATTAGTCTCATTTGGTGGCTTTGTTTAGAGATCAGCATACTGTGGCATTGATAGTTCAGAACAGCTCACATTCTGACAGAAGCCCATATTCCTTTAGGGGGAAAAGCTAGAGGAAGGAGCCTGAGGCGATCAGAGATGCAGGGGAGCAGTGAGGAACCCTGAGAAGGAGCAGGCCTGAGAAGGGGAACCTTGACATTGTGTGTAACCCAAATCTCTGGGCTGTGACCAAAGCAAACATGGATCTGAGCCACCATGTAGCACAGGCCTTGAAGTTCACAGAGCCAGCCAGGGTCTGAGTGGGTCCTGGAGTTCACAGAGCCAGCCAGGGTCTGAGTGGGTCCTGGAGTTCACA